TAATGAGAGGAGGGCAATTACCAATGCCTTAAGGTATCAGACCATACAAGAATCTTTGACTTAGGGATTACTAATCTGATGAACAGCAGAAGTTATCTTCTCAACAGGAAAATAAAGTTAAAAGGAACAATACTTGTTTGCTAGGTATTCTGTAAAATATTCCCTCTACTTCCCCATCATTTAGTATATAAGACTCAATGAGATATACACATAGCTTTAGAATGATGCCTACTAGGTTGACTTACTCAACTTAGAAATCCTATTACCACCGTTACTAGATAACTCATAGTATGCTTTTCCATTAAATATAAATCAACAAAATGATTTTGCCAAAAGTCATGTGCACAAATAATTTTTGCTTCAAAACGCATTAAGCTCTTGTAGGCTTCAGGATGCAGATCTGAAAAACACAAAAGTTTAACTCTGCTTTCTTCTCTCTTAGAAACTATAGCTGCAGTAGATATTTTAATACTTGTTAAGAATGTTATGTGAAGAAAAGCATAACCAAATCAATTAACTCATATCATTCCTAATCAGATATTATTTTAATCTGAACCAGAGTTTATGACTTCTGTAAAAACTGAGAGCAACTCTTAGTAATGTAAACCACAATGAGATTGTGGCCAAGGGTAAAATGGGGAAAGCGCTTAAAAATGCATGATAGCAAGCAATGTTTTTCCTCCTCTTTTTCATAACATTACAATAGCTCTAATTCTGAACTGAGATTCTCAAATCTGAGCCTCCTGAATAGGAGAATAAATGTGCATCATTAATACCTGCCATTATAATTATTTTTTCTTTTCATTTTACTAGTGTAAAAACAATAGCCATTTATTAAACATCAACTCTCTTCCAGATTCTACATAGTTTTGTCTTCTCGATGCATATTAACGAAAATAATTTATAAACACATTACAATTGCTTTCAAAACAACTGAAAAAAATCTAAAACTAAGACAAAAAAGTCACATACATAACTGATATTATATTAAAGAACTTAAAGTTCCATTCAGAAGGTCAAAATAAAAGCTATATGAATAACACACAAAGTAAAAAGAAGAGTACACAAATAACTCACTGTCAAAACTCTGCTCATCAACTTCAAATACTAAAACTATCCATACTTGGCTAAAAGTAATTGGAACCAACTCACAGGAGACCATAGGACAAGTAAGTCACTGGTCTGGGTTATCAGCTTCTCATTCCTTAGGATTCTCTCATCCCTTTTCTATTTTTGATCAGTGTCCTAAAGTTCCATGGAACGTAGTTATTTAATTTTCAAGTATCACCTAATGCACTAACCTCCAAAACTCTCAAATCTATCCTTTCCTTCCTATTTTCACTGCCATGATCATGGTTTAATCCTTCAAGATTTTTTACCTGTTGTGCTAGAACAGCCTCCTCTAGCTAATTTCCCCATGTTTACCTTCTCCAATCCTTTCCTAACAATAATTAATGCTGAAGTGACATTTCTCAAACTCAAATTCAATCTGACTAGCTTAATTCCTAGGATTCTCCATCACCCAAATTCCTAAGTTATTTCATTTTTCTCATGTTTATATTATCTAATATGCTATATTATTTGTCCACTGTCTATACTCCAACTAAAATGCACATTCCATAAGGACAGTTTTTGTTCACTGCTATATGTTACTTGTTTGAATGAGTGAAATGAATGCAGGAATGGGCTAATGAACTACATGCAAAAGGCTTCCGTGACCTACCAATGCTCTTCTCTTATTTATTTAATCTCTACCTCTATCAACAATGAATTACTCACTTTCACACTCCTTTACTTTTACATACCCACATGCTATTCCCTCTGCCTGGAATATAAAATTTCCCCATCATCCAATCATTCCTCCAGAAGGCTTCTTGACAAAATAAGTCATACTTTCTTTTGTGCAACATCTGTACCTTTGTCTATCTGTACCTTTGTCTACACTGGTTCTAATTAAACTATTAAACATTTCATTTCCCTTCCCAGACTGTGAATTCTTGGGGATTTTTTTTTTTTGTCTTTTCTTTTTTGGTACTGGGGATCGAACCCAGGACATTGCGCTTGCTAGGCAAGCGCTTTGCCGCTGAGCTACATCCCAGCCCTCTTGGGGATTTTTGTCAGGAACTCAGGACCTCACACAGCTAGGCAGGTGTTCTGCCACTAAGTCAAACCTCCGGCTCTTTTTTGCATTAGTTATTTTTGAGATAGGACCTTGCTTCCCTAGTAAGTGAGCACCTGAACTCACCTAGATTGACCATAGCTCTGGGATAGGCGCCACTACATCCAGCTTTTTCCTTTGAGATAGAATTATTCAGACTTTTCTTCCCAGACTGACCTGGAACTGCAATTCTCCTGATCATATAGTTAGGATGACAGGCATGAACAACTGCACCCAGCTACTGGCTGAGGTCTCCTGTATATGCCAATGTTGGCCTCAGACAAGATCCTCTTAATCTCATCCTCCAAATTAACTAGAAATACAGGTGTGAGCCATCAACACCAGACCTAAACTTGAATTCCCTGAGGCTAAGGATTTCTCTCTTCATCTTCAGTGCCTATGCTGTCCCTGCATTACTCTGCAAATATTCATTAAATTAATGTACACAAACTATTCTGGAAGAAGACTAAAAGCATGCTACATCAAGAAGTCACTACTCAGAGTCCATGATAAGATAACAATTACATATGTAACTTGAGGCTAGGGTGAGAGGGGAAACAATGGGGGAGAAAGATGGAAGGGGTAGCATTGATCAAGATGCATTACACTTATAACCTGCCATTTGGAATTGTAACTTCATTGCACAACCACTTAACTTAAAAAATACAACCAATACCAACATCCAGAATAAGAAAAAAGAATGGACAAATTACCAAAGGATTCAAAAATGAATCATATAGCTGTAATTATGCCTTACTGGAAATACATTCTGGCTCCACTTACCTCCATCATTTGCCTTCCCTTTAGGCTCAATTTTATTGCTGGCAACCGGAAGCCCAGCGAAGTAGTAAGAAGTAGAAGGCAGACCTGAATTTCCCATGAATAATCTATTAAGATCACTCTCAAAGAAGTGTTTGGATTTCATAATAGCAATATTTTGTTTAATGCAAGTTGGTGTTGTGTTTTGAGCTAGTCAAAACCCCAGCATTCTAAGTAAACTACAAAGTCTTTATACAGGACTAGATTTTACCACTAGCCATCTAAACCTGAGCTCCTCAACAACTATAACCTAGGCCATAAACACGCTACAGTTGGGCCTAGGCTATTGATGCCTTCAGTCCTTGGCAGCAACACAGACAACTTTGGACCAGTTACCTTCTGTCCTAAGATGCCTCACTCATTGACCCAGTAGAAACATTAATGTTTTTTCTTCATAATACTGTGGATGAAGGCCACTAAACCCAACCACAAAGAAAACCTACCTTCCCAACTTAATTCCAACACATAAATGTGCAATCACACACAGATGCATACAAATGAGTAGATATAAAAAGTATGTGAAGCCATCTGGAATAGAGAAAAGTCTTAAGCCCAGTGACAGCTAATATAATGTGAGGTTAATATGATCCTTCATCCCTCTCTCCATCACCACTGTAAGTTCTGGGAAAATAAACCTCTAAATTATTTTCCAAATAGGTTACCTACTCCCAACAGTTTGCCTCCTTCAGATAATACAGTCCAAGTTTCTCTTTCCACCTTTGGACACAATGGAAAATCATAGCTACTGTTTTAAGAGCTTATATAACAGGAAAGCACTGGATCTTTTTCATTCTACATTTCTCACAGATACACTGGCAAGGCAGGGATTATGATTACTATACTCATTTCTTAAAATAAAGTGACTAGCCGGGCGCTGGTGGCTTACGCCTGTAATCCTAGCTACTCAGGAGGCTGAGATCTGAGGATCGCGGTTGAAAGCCAGCCCGGGCAGGAGAGACTGTGAGACTCCTATCTCCAATAAACCACCAGAAAACCGGAAGTGGCGCTGTAGCTCAAGTGGTAGAGCGCTCGCCTTGAGCTGAAGAGCTGAAGGACAGCACCCAGGCCCAGAGTTCAAGCCCCATGACCGACAAAAAAAATAAATAAATTAAATAAAATAAAATAAAGTGACTAAAACTCTGAGGCTGAAATGTCCAGTCATACAGGCGAAACTGCTGCATGAAATTCTAACCAAGATCTAGGGTCATGAGAAGCCAAGTAGTTTAAAAATTAAAACACTGTGTAAGACATGGTAACATATACCTACAATTCTGGCACTTAGGACACAGAGAAGAAACCTGAATTCTAAAGAGAGAGAAAAAAAAAAGTAATGAGAACAACTTGGCACCAAAGTCAGTTTAATGGGCTTTTTAATTCTAACCTACCACAAAGTACATCTGACAAGCCTGCAACCGACTTTTAAGTAGCTTATATTATTTGGGGGGGGGGGGGACTCCTGACGCAGCAGGTGTCCTAGCCTTTTATTTGTGTATGTTTCTTCCTCTGCAAAATAGGTAATAACCACACCTACTTCATAGTTTCCGAAGAAGTACAACAAACAACGGACAGGGAACAAACTCTGCTGCTTTGAAAGTACACATTAACCCCAGGAACACTTTTTTTTCACTTTCCAAGTTTACACACGCTGACAAAAAGCTACATCGCAGAACACAGCGACTCGCAGTAGCTTTCATCAAGAATGAAGGAACCCCTTCCCCTACAACTCACCCTAAAATCATGAACTAGTGTTTGCAGTTTATCTCTCACTCATCCGCTTAAAAAAAAAAAAATGTCCCCTACGGATGCGGAAGCGTACCCCGCCGACACCGTCAGCACCTTCCCCAGAGCAGCGCTCCCCGCCATCCCCGCCGCCACACCCCTGCGCCCAGGCTTTGCGAATTACAAGACGTTCCTGGGAGTCTCCCTCGAGAGCAAACTTAACACACCACGAGCCCGTTCCACGCCCGCAGCCCCCCGGCGCTCACTTCAGACGGAGAAGGGGCTGCTGGCAGCTGAAACTCACGAGAAGGGAGTCTTGTCAACCCTGTCCTCAGTTCGGTGCCTCAAATCGTGACCGACCCCCCCCTCCCCTCCCGCGCTGTCTGTCTTCCGCGAGGTCACCCGGTACTCTGGGGACGCGGGATGCTCTCCGCACGCCCGTGTCAGCTCGCGTCCCGCTCCGCGCCTGCTCTCCCGCAG